TGGTATACTATATTATTTGCACCAACAAGTCTGGCCTTGCTTGTGATCGTTGCTGCTGTTATTGTAGTTCTCACGAATTTCCCAATCCTGCCTCTAGTCCACAACAGGGGCACTCCGATAGCTCAATTATACTAGACATTGTTGCTCAAACGTGTGGTTTAAATCAACAGCAAAGCGGCCTAGGACTTTGGTTGCACTGGGTGCTCTTCAAGGCAGGCTGTCCTTGTACTTGATTTGGTTTTATTTTGGAAATGGACGCTGCAATCGAAGGTCACATCTCTGAACTTCTCATACAATTTTCATAAGGGTACTATATTCTAACTCGCAGTGTGCGATTCAAAGAGGGAAAGCAACAAACAAAACGAAAGCAAGAGACAGGAGGGGAAACGATTGAGTGGGGTTCGTAGGAGGGGGGGGGGGTGGTCTCCAGCCTTTATTAATGACAAGTGCTCGACTCCTGTTAAATGTTGCATTGAGCGGAGGATATTTTCGCTGTCCCGGGTTTTTGCAACTCAAGCTGAATAATGACTAAGAGCCAGCACCATGCCCAAACGTACTATATCCATTTACTACAAAACTGAGAAAATGAAAAGGACGTACTCTTTAAAGATAAAAGTATTAAACAAACTTCATTTTACTCATACACTCATACTAAAACAGTGCGTTTTTGAGAAACACAGGATTCTCACGACTATTCGTATCGTAAGATTATGGAGTGGACGTGGGTTTTCCCCAAATGCTCCAATTGGGCGTAGAGTGTAATTTGGCGCTCATATGACCTTATGCAGTTGCGAGCGCCGTAAAACCCTCTACTATAAAAAAAAAAAAAATTAAATAGTGTAATTTGCAATGGAACCCTTCAACTGTATTTTCGCACAAATGCTGACAGACGCTCATTATGAGTAATACGGGAAGGGTCAGTAAACAGGTTCATCCCGAGTCCTTCGAGAGAACAGATGTAATAAATATTACCGGAAAATCAATTTGTCTAGAGCTGTTTCAAGCCTATAATGAAAACACCGTGCACGGACACATGCTAAGACATGCATGCAAGCTCTCTCTCTCTCTCTCTCTCTCTCTCTCTCTCTCTCTCTCTCTCTCTCTCTCTCTCTTTCTTTCTTCATCAGTCTCCACACACACACACACACACACACACACACACACACACACACACACACACACACACACACATGTATTGTATAATCTGGTCACATTTTAAGGTTTCTCAATACCCCACCTAGAACGCTTTAAGCTATCACGTTCCCATTGGAATTTTAAGATAAAAATACTACTAGCCATTCCTTTTTCTGATTTGTTTTGGGTAAACAACGAAATGCTATACATCGACTGCTTGAAGATTATGCCCCTTAGTATAAATTGTAATTGTCTGCAAGGGTAAAAAATGTTCGCGTAATTTTTCCCCGAGAAGAACAAAAAACGAGGTGGCTTTGAAGAGACTAATGGTGATTATTTTGCGGGAAGTTATCGACTTATGATTCTAATTCAAAAGCTACTTTGTGGTCGCCCTCTTGGAGTAACTATATAATTACTCCTAGGTCGCCCCAATGCTGTGTATGGTAACTCAACTGTTATCAGTTCTTTTGTGATCGCTGCCCTTAGTCGTTCAGCGATTCTCTTCCAAGAACCGACAGGAATGGTATAACTGCGATGGTGGAAATGTTCTTTATTAAGAGACTCTTTTTCGTTCTTACTCGTGAATGTGAGTCAGTAAGAATATCTAATTTGACAGCATGTTTATCAGTAACTAATTTATGACTAATCTTCACTGGTTACTTAGTCTTGTTATTAGGCCATGGTCAGAAAGTGTGTAGAAAAGCACTGGTGCATCCTCTTTTGCCTCTGTAAAAAAAATGAAAGCTTGGCTTGTAATGTTACACGTATATCGCTGACTCCGTGATACCCTATTATATTATGGTTATTAAGCTACTTTATTCCACTAGGTTCAGAATGCTGTTTGTTATGTACACTATTTTTGCGGTTAGTAGAGCTATGTTATTCGGACTAGGGTCAATGCTGTGCTGGAAAAGCTCGTCTCCTTTGCATGACTTCGTTTTCCGCATGTGTAAGTCATTCTATTGAGCATCTCTGTCTGGAATGTTGCTTTACACTCAACATGGTCGCAGCAACCTGCCTCCGAAAGCATAAAAATGTCAATTGGTCGTATAACGTTAACAATTGTCGAGTCAAAACTTCTCACTTTAATAAACTCTTTGGCTTTTACGGACAGAATCCGTCTTAGAAGACTCTACTTCTGGAAGCAAGTATCAAGAAAGAAAACTCTCTGGAATATTTCGTACATGCAAGCTAATCGTGGTAAAACTACAGTATTTTAATTTCTATCTGGTTTCTTTTTCAGGCATGTCCTCTCAAGTTTGGTTCTTGGTCCCATAACGGTTTTGAACTAAACGTGGTGAACAGCAGCAATGCTGGGGACATCTCATCGTTCGTGGAGAACACTGAATGGGACATGTTGAGCCTCCCTGTTAAGGTACACATTTCAACACAAGCATTTTACTAAATGTTTCCCCTTTTATTTACATATTTCCTTTTTTCGTTCACCCTATACCCCCAGGGGATTTAGCAGGGGAAAGAGGCACCTACTTCCTTCTAGTCAAAAGGCCTGACTCGATTCGTTGTTGAATGACTCAAAGGCCTCCTTGACTCCATCAATCGAACCATGTCATTTTTTACCCTCCTCAGGCCTTGCTAGCTTTTGTGATTCATATCCTAGGGGTTGGATTGTGTCTGGTAAACAAACAAATTAGGTACCCAAATCTTATCCTTTGTTTATCAGAATATAATACTCTTGGTCCTCACCATTCTTTAATGTTGTTTTAAATCTTGACGTATTTGATGTTGGCTGTTATAGTCTTGTTTCGTTCATTTACTTGTCAGTTAAAAAGGAGAACAAATGTTCACACACACACACATACACACACACACACACACACACACACACACACACACA